TTTCAACAAATTGTGTCTGCTTTTGACTATTTTTGTACTCCTTTACCTTGCAAAGCTTATTTTTGTTGCATATAATTTTCAAACCACATTTCAGCTGACTTTAATAGGAATTGATTCCTGTTTGGTGTATTCTGTGTTGAATAACCATTTTGTATCCCAGCAACGGATAGAAAATGGCTTAAAGAAGAAACTGACACGATGAAACAGATATGTAAATATATTGAAATAGCAGAAAAAAGTTCAATTTTAGGGATACCAACTCTCCAACAAGTTCACTTTGAGAGCAACAAATTCACAAATCTCATGGATAATACATGAATTGAATAATTTTCCGATGTCCCTAAAAGGAAAACCACCTAGACTATTAATGACAGCATTGTGGCTGTTGGCCTAAAAATATAGAGGATTGTAGTTAACTGAAGCCCTAAAATAGTGGAAAGAATGTGTACGGTAATGGAAGTAATGCCTCCACCTTTTCAGGATGCGGCTCCTACTTCCCTTCACTCAGTTGTAGAAAAAGTAAAATGTTGAGCTGTTGAGATTGGTCTTCTAACTCACATGCTGTAGCTAACAAAGCACTCTGCTCAACCCTTAAATTAGCATAAACACGTTATTCTTGGAGAGATCAAACCAATTAATGATGACTTTCAGCAAAGAAATCAAATGTATACATGCCAAAAGTCTACCTGAAATTATGAAATTCGTTCATTTCTGGATGAGGTTACGATCCAAAACCAATGTGCAGGCAAAATCTTGGGGATATCTATTAACCTAACAGTGCAGACAACTCTTCAAAAATTAAATCTCTGAAACTCTAAAAAAACTGGACGGTATTCGACATTGCAACATTACAAAGTTAGTTCCTGTATTGCGTGGTAGGTAAAGGCAGTATCCGGGGTTTTACAGCCCCACTAGGACAACTCTAATTGAGTTTTTTTTGGATAACAATCCAAAAAAGTCGTGTTACTGCACGAGGTTGGTCATGGCAGCAGAACAATGCTTTGCTTGATTCTTCAACAATTTATCTCCCTTGGATTTCTCATTTAACATTACCTACTTTGAAGTTTAGACCAGGGTTTTCCTTGGCGGGCAAGCCCCATATTCAAACTTTGGTCCCAGAAAAGCCGTGTATCGGCTTTTAACATTGTGACATGTCAATTCATTTCTCAGTTCATCACTTTGGCTCCCTTGGACTCATTCAACATGAATAACACCAATCACCGCCTAGAGTTTCACTGACAGTGAAGTACCTTCGGTTGCCTTATTGTCTCTATGATCTATCTGACCTGCAAAGGGCATGCCTTGATGCTAGGTCCTACTCTGCATTCTCTTAATGCTTTTTAGAACGAAGCATTCAGCTGAGGGAATGAAAAGTCTTCAAATTTCAAATAATGCTCTTGATCTGTTTGGCCTCAACTTGGTCAAGATCTCTCTTTTCTACTTGCGTGCACACAATTAGAGCTTGTTGCATCTTCTTTTGTTTTGCCTTCATGTTAAGTAAGGTCGCAAAGGGGTCACTAGTCCATGTTCAAAGTAATGTGTATTTTGTTCTGCCACCGGCATACGAAGGGCTATGATGGTCCAGACTAGAGAGAAACGAAAACATAGTGCAAGCATCTTCTTCCAGGCAATGCCAGGGCATGCCACTGCCGCCTCGCTTCCGGTATCAGCTGAAGAGAGAGAGAGAGAGAGGGGGTGCTCTGTCACAGAGAGGACGAGATCTGATAGAGGAATGATAAGTTGGGGGTGACAAGGTGACAAGGATGGGATTAAATGAGTTAGGGGTAGAAATGCAATCTTTATTGTTTTTTTTTTTTGGCTAAAGAGGAAAATGGAAGAAAGATATGGGACACCCGAAAAGGGATGGAAGAAAAATATGGGACATAGGGAGAAATAAATTACTCTGTATTTTTCATATGATATGTCAGTTGTCAAAGTTTAACGTGCGATCAAAAAAATGAAAGATGAAAGTCCTAGCAGGAAAGAACGCGTGTGCATTGTCTTAATGCATGTGTATGTGTGTAAAACTTTATTGTTTACACCGTTGTATTGATAAATGTGTAGATATTGATTCATGTAGTTCTATAATACTAAAATAAGAAAGCATTTTTGTTAGAATACATGTTTCATAACAAGCTAATGTACAAGTGTAAGTGATGGGGACTGATTTCTTGCTTGCAATATGAAATATTCAATGTTCTACAAATTGAATCGGACCAAGCAGCTTAAGGTAATCCCACATTGCCTTCGTCAAGACAATTCGACAACCTAAGCTGAACTTACATTTTGAAACTATCTATGTCTTTTCTTTTTGTCAAGCACATGCGATTTGTGGATGGCAAAGTTCAGGCCTTGTTTGTCTTTTAATAGTTTTACATCACATACTATCTCTCTGGCTTATAAGTCTGATTCTAATCTTTCAATTTTCTGATAGTTTTACCTTCATCAAGGCAATTTGATCACCAAAGCTAAGCTGACATTCCGTAACCATTTATGTTTTTTGTGTCAAGAACACACCATTTGTGGCTAACAAAAGTCGGGCATTATTTATCTTTAAATTGTTTTGCGTTACAAACTATCTGGCCTATAGTCTGATTCAAACCTTTCAAATTTTCTGATATTATGTAAATATCTTTTTTTCCAGTGGACAGTACCCTCTTTCTTTTGGAGAAGGAGAGCACGCCGATGCAAGTGAGTACATCATTTTCAACTTCATTAATGGAATTTAAGGTGCAGGTGTTCCTGTGTTTAAACTTCTTTCTTCCCTAATTGCATTCCTGGGCTTAGAAGTATTAGTTTGATGTAAAACACTATCTTCCACATTGCTTTATCTGTATCCTGAATATAATTAATTTTTCTTGACTCTATGTAGGTATACATTTGGAATGCCGAGCAACTGCCCTGGTTTGCTATTACTTTTGTACAAGGGACCTCTTGTAGGGCATTGGAGATGCCTTACAAGCACACAAGTTTAAACCCAGTTTCTATATACTGAATGTGTGCAGTTGTAGTAATGGATTTCCTATATAGGAAGCAAGTTCTAAGATTTGGGATTCCGTGCTCTGGAATTAGGCACTTCATACCCCTTTTTTTTGGTTCTGTATATTGCTAAAAAATTGAATCAAGTGCACAGCAGTTTTGGCATCAGTTTTGACACCAAAGAAAGATATGAATGACAACTTTTGTGTGTAGCTGTCATCACACCGCTCCCAGCCACGCACAAATGTTGTGTTTCAAAGTTTTCTTTGATGTGAAAAGTGGTGTGCACCAAGAATGGTCCACATTGCGAGTGATTCAGGTGCTGTACAAGTCCTATTCTTAGCAGTCAGTAGTGATGTACAATGTACATAGTGCTTGTTTGTGTTTAGTTGGTAATGTGGTTAATGAAGATTGAGCTGTGAAACAGAACTCTAACTCTGGTATTTTTTTTTGTTGTTGTGAAAATTGCCAATTTAAATTTTGATCAGAGTTCAAACCAGCATTCAATATTGGTGATTTGGTTCCTTAATGATTTAGCGACCTTCGTTTGTACCAACAGGTTAGTGCCAATGTTTGAGCTTATTTGGTACAGAGTATTAGTCAGTGTTTCTCTTTGTTTATATAAGTTTATTTGTTGCAAGGATCTTTTGACCTGTGAATAAAATGACTTGAAAATGATTCGGGCATTTTGGTTTCCTACGGTGTTTTGTTGATAAACCATAGGTGACCCGGGTCATTTTAAGATCAAAATAGTTCCGGTCAATCCCTTGGCATAAGAAAAATTATAAAAGTTGTAAAACTAATCTCCATTGATTTTTCAAATATGGAGTGTACAAGAAGTTGACAAATCTAATTAAATCCTTACCCTCAATAAATACATAGCTACTTCCACATTTCCTACCCAACATTATGATCTTTTTTTTCTTCTTTCATTAGCCTATATAACTAGTGTAAGGCCCCGTTCCGTTCAACTTATTTTTTCTTATTTTTTCTTATTCTTATTAAAATCAGATCAGATCAGATCAGACCAGATCAGATCAGATCGAATCAGATCAGATCAGATCAGATCGAATCAGATCAGATCAGATTCAATCATATCAGATCAGATTCAATCAGATCAGATCAGATCCAATCAGATCAGATCAGGACTTATTAAAATCAGATCTCATCAAGAATTATTATTATTATTATTATTGTTATTATTATTATTATTATTATTATTATTATCATCATCATCATCATCATCATCATCATCATCATTATTATTATTATTATTATTATTATTATTATTATTATTGTTCTTAAAAATGAAAAAGAATAAACTTTAGAAATAGGTTAAATAGAAAACTGAGAAAGTAATCCTTAATTATTAGACGTCGGAAAAATTAGTTTTAAAATACATTGACAATATCAATCTAATTCTACTTTTAAAATATATTTTTATTGCTACTTGTAGTTTGAGTTTCTAAACTTTTGATCTTTTATAAGGATGAGATATTTTAATAAAAATACTATCTCTTCTATATATTGATTATCTANTATCTAAATTTAATTACTTTTTAATGTATATCTAAATTAAATATTTATTCTAATGTATAATTCTAATTTTACAAAAAAATATCATAAAATAAAAAATATTATTACATTATAATATGAATGATTATTCTAATATATGAATTAACTATTTTTATTTTATTAAAAATAATCATTAAATAAAATATATTGATTATATTATAATATGAATTATCATTACAATTTTCAAACGTTATTATAAAGTCAAATTAAATTATTAATTTGAAATTTTAAATTAAATCATAATTAATCAGATCAGACCAGATCAGATCAGATCAGACCAGATCAGATCCAATCAGATCAGATCAGATCAGATCCAATCAGATCAGATCAGACCAGACCAGATCAGAACTTATTAGAATCAGATCAGATCAGAAAAAATAAGTTGAACGGAACGGAGCCTAACTGTGTAAGTTTGCACTTATCAATGTGCAATAAAATAATAAGGTCTACGTACATACACTATATTCTGCTTTCTAATTGGAAATACATATCCCCATGGATATTATTAATCTCTTAGTCCTGTAATCTTGTCAAGGCAATCGTTTGCCATGCCGTCAATCCAAGCGGAGAACTTCTTAAACTCGGGGTCGTTCTTGTCGTAAACATGTCCCATGCAATCCTTACACGTGTCAATGTCAGTGGCCATGGCGCTCACGTCCACGTTCGCCTTGTAGAGATTCCCATCCTTTGTGTCCTCCACTGTTTTCTTCATCGCCTTCATCGAGTCCTCGTACACGTCCTTGCACATCTTCAGGCACTCCTTCCTCACCCCGTCGGTGTCTGGGTCTCTCAAGCGCTTCTCGATCACGTCGTGGATGAAGTCCTCCGTCTTTGACATGGAGGCCACCATCGCCGACTGGACGAACATGTTCACGGCCGGGGTGTCTTTCACGACGGGGACACTGACGAAAGAGTCTGTGCCTGAAGGGGTTGGGGCGACATCCCAAGAACCCTCTCCCTCGTCCAGGACATCATCGTTGGAGCCACCTTCTAAAGGGGTTGGGGCGCCGTCCCAACCATCTCCCTCACCCTGGGCATCATCGCGAGAACCATCTTCTGAAGGGGGCTCGGCGATGGTTTTTGGGGATGCGTACGTGAGGGGAGAAGATTCTGGGATGGCGAGAGCGTCTCCGTCGGGGAATGCATGGGCCTTGTTGCCCAAGAATGAACTTGAAAGTAACAAAGAGGTGAAGAGAATGTAGAGAATGCTTTGGTATGAAGGGGTGGCCATGGTTGATTATTGTCTATACAATTGCTATTATACTATTCTTCTTCCTATATGATATATAGGAATTTAATAAACTAATACTTTGTAGGATTATTACTTAGGGAATTGAATCAACTATAGATATAGAAACACATTATATATTTGTAGAGAATAAAAAGTTTGTGAAGGGCTTGAGGGTGGTACATATAGATGCCTATTTAGAGGATGGTTGGTTTTGCTTGTTTATTGGAAAATGAGTCCATGTTTATAGCTCCTTGTCAAAGCTTTTTCTCATGTAACCACAAGATCATGGATGGCTAGTCTTGGATGGTAAAATCCTCTCTTAAAGAGCCAACAAAAACATCTACAAAAATTAAAAAAAAAAAAAAACTCATACAAATCGACAAGAAATTATTTGACGTTGGAATGACATAACTTGAATTTGTCACTCACTACTTAGTAAACGACATAATTTATTGTGTTGGATGTTTTGATCCATTGAAACTTTTTACGTTGGAATGACAAGAAATTAGTAAATAACATAATTTTACTGAATAATACTAGGGTGCCACTACATGGGTGCACATATATTTTGCACAGACAAACATAACGATAATCGTCTATGTCACACAGATCAGTGCGAAACATGGGCGCGAACATGGTAGCATCTGTGTGGTGGTACCTTAGGATGACCCTAATTTACTAGGAATGTTACATGATCGAGTTGGTGCCCAATTGAATTTTAATGTAACAGTTTTTTTAGACATTGCCGTTTACTTTTTGCTTGTGTATCATGCATGGTGTTGCTTACTTACTACTCCATTCTAAAGAAACTTTTCAATTACGGAGTACTATATACATAGACACATTTTATCAATTTTTTTATATATCTATTTCATTATTTATTTAATAAAATAATATACTAATATCATGTCTTATTTTGCAAAATTTATAATATAGTTTTTAAACATGTAAATTTTAATTTTGATTCTTCAAATTAAACCAATTATTAAACAAATTGAAAATATTGCTCCAACTTGAGGTGTGCGAGTCGATGTTCATCCTTCGTAAATCGTAACAACCTCAATGCTCTTCTTCAAGGGGTGACATAGGCCTCCTTAGAGAGACATAGGCCAACTTTAGGATGGCCTCTTTGTAAGCATTATCATATGTCTGGTTTATGTCTTGCTCGTCGCCCTTATTTACACTTTATGGTGGTGTTCATGAGGATAAAAGCATGTACAAAGTGGCCAAAATATTCATACCAAATTGAAAGCAAGGCATTCCAAATTTGGAGCACAAGAATATGACCTAGTAAATTTTGAACAATCTTTATTTAGTGTTTGGCTAAAATCCACCATTGATCCTTCAACTTTATCAGTTGTGCACGATTGGTCATTCAAGTTTCAAAAGTCCATAAATAGTCCTTCAACTTTAAGAGTTCTGCATCATTGGTCCTTCAAGTTTCAAAAGTCCATAAGTAGTCATTTAGGTACACGTCAGCCCTCCATATGAAGTCCTTTAATTTTGACAGTAAATATTAAAAGTTAAACGAAATACTAGTTTCATATAATACGAGTAAATTCCACTAGGTACGATTACTCCGTATTATATGGAGCTAGTATTCCATTTAGTTTTTAACATTTACTGTCAAAAGGACCTCATCTGGAGGGCTGACGTGTACTTGAAGGACTACTTATGCACTTTTAAAACTTGAAGGACCAATGGTGCAGAACTTATAAAGTTGAAGGACTATTTATGGACTTTTAAAACTTGAAGGACCAATCGTGCATAATTGATAAAGTTGAAGGACTAATAGTGGAGTTTAGCCTTTAGTGTTTTGATCATATCTTGGGCCAAGAAATTCAAAATTTTGCTTCATAATACCTTCCTAAGAAGCTATTTTTGAGGCCTACAATTATCCTTATCTATTTTGGAAGTTTAAACAACATAGGACACTTTCTTCGCCTTGTGAGTAAGAAATCATAAGCTTATTTTAGAGTGACTTTAGACATGGGCTTCCCAAAGCTCCGATCCCTTTTGGTATTATGTAATACGGAGTAATTGTTAAGTACAAAACACCACGAAGAGAATAATTTAAAACATGGGACTGTTGAAAAATCACATCTTAAAGAGAAACATTTAGATAATTCACTCTTAAAATAAGAGTGATCTCAAAAATCTTGTGGGACAATCTCCCGAATTCGATTTCCAGCGGAGTCATTGAGCCACAATTTGTGAATAAAATTGGAAAGAATAGCACGAAAAACTATAAGGGCACTGGAAATACCCGTGAAGCCCCTGGACTTCAAATCGGGGCTTCAAAATTTTTCTCTTTGTCACGTCAGCTTTAACTTTCCTCCCAGATTCAGTGGAAATGGGTTTGAGGCTTCAAACGGGGGTCTCAAACCTTCATTTTTTAACATTTTTAAATATACGTCTTCTATATTTAAAATAATAAATTTTAATTATTTTATTATTTAATAATATTGTAATGAGAATAATTTAAAAAAGTTGCATTCATTAAATTAAAAGATTTTAAAGTAACAATAATAAAAAATATTACATTTATTAAATTTAAAAAGTTAAAGCGACAAAAATTTAAAAATTACATTAATAAAAAAAACTAAAGTAAATTATATTTTGCCTTGATCTCCTTTTGTCTTCTCTCGAAGATCATACATTTGAACCCCGATAATGTATCAAGGTCAGTTTCCATTATTTCAATTTCTTCCTTCTCTTGCTTCCTTCTCGCCCTCTCTTTTTTCCCGAATATTGAACATGCAAAGTTTTTCAACCATTGCCCGACCGATATCGTTGTGAGAAGAAACAGAAATAGAGCCAGAACCTCTAGAACCCGAGGAAATGAATTTTGCCTTTGCTCCTCCGATCGGTCGTGGAATGGGTTCCTCGTCATCGGAATCCGCAACGTTGAGGCCTTTGTTCGGACGAACCGATAGTGTCATCGACCTCAACCTCGGTATCGACGGAGGATCTTTTCTTTGACGATCCGGCGTCAGAATTGTTGAGTTGTTGCCACTTCGGTGAACGACTCAAAATCCTCCAAAGATTGATGGGCACCTTGCCTTGGTGACCGTCGTCTTGATACCAGGTCGTGGCAAGCCGGAGAACATCGACGTCGTTCGTCCAGCTCCTCCGCGACTGGGTGCATTCCTCGTAAACTCCGATAAATTTTCGGACTTTACGGTTGATGCGGCTTCATTTGGAAGTGAGTTGGTCCCGGGTACAGTAGGAGCCGTCCTTGTTCATCGCCATAAAGAATTTCTCCTCGATACGATTCCATATCACATCTTTCATTTGCTCTGAACCTATAAAAAGTATAACACGAAATTTTTTTTAACACTAATATATAACACGATTATATAAGTAAAAACACAAATATATTAGAAAACATTTAATTTTTACAAACGATAGGATGCTCAGAGACGTCAACTCAATCCGACGCCAACAAGCGCTCTTCCTCCGACGTCCACCTTTGTACTGACCATGCCGCCTCGGTCATTACTTGAGTGCCTTTCGCTTTGTGGCTCTTCCGGCGTGCACTTTTTTTTGGTGACGAATGGTTCCGGTTGAGTCTCCGAAACTGACTCTCGCTCATAGACGTACCCCGATGGTTGCGTCTCGAATATCGTTGGATTACTCTCGTATTGTTGGAAGATCCATATAGTGTGCTCGTTAGGCTCGTGATCGTCGGGAAAAAAGCCGGAGCCGAAGGGATTCATGTTGAAAAGAAAGTTGGAGAATTGGAGAATTGAGAATTGAAGAAGATGTGAAAAAGATTGATGAGAATTGGAGATTGAAAGGTGTGATAATTATTGGAGGAGATGGAGTTTGAAATTTATAAAAAAATAAATAAATTTTTTAATGGTTGCAACGACTAATTTAGCCGTTAGGGGGGAGGGGGCTGCGTCAAACATCTGACGCTGATAACGTGACGCCCCTTTGAAGCCCTAGGTGGGCGGTGTTTAACGCCTCTGTGTGTTAAAATGAGGGTTGACGCCCAACGGCGTCACATCCATTTCCTCTGTTCTAACTATTGTGAAATGGACTATGTATTATGGTAAGAAATTGTTTTGTTAAAAAATGTCTGACTGTATTAAAAATAATGAAATATATACAGGAGTAATTGTTGTATGCAACTATTGTTTTTATAAATATTGTGTTTATTTAATGAAAATGTTGTTGCACCGGTACTAGAATGTTGATTGATTAACATGTTTTATTCATTAAATAATACCCGTATAATATATTTTTTCTTTCAAAAAAATACTCCTTAATTATTAATTGACAAATACAATGAAGGCGGATTCCCATTCTCTCAAGTCTCAACCTAACAAGGCATTTTGTTTGCCGAAGAAAAAAAATGATAAGAATATTCCAACAAACAACGAAAGTGAAAATCCAACTACCATTTTGAAGCTGCGACATTTTTAGCATTATATTGTTACTTCCAATTGGTCTCTTCTTTGAAACAAAAACATGTGAAAACTAATTAAACTACTTTTATAGAGAAGTGGTCCGTGTAAATCACAATTATACCACAGATTAAATTTTGAATTGTACAAACAAATTTGTTTGTTTCACAAATCGTTTAGTAAAAGAACAAAATATGTCGGTATAGTATTGTTCAAAATTTGGTACAAGAAAAATGATGTACATATAGTCATGTAGATGTAACATTTTTGCATATTATGTCTTTATTCCTCTCGAAGTAATGTTTCCTTGATTCATAGAGTATTTAGGATCGGACTAAAAGTCTTCTTCTTTTTACATTTACATAATTGAGACTTAAAAGTTTAAATTTATAACATCTTATTGGAAATGACAAAAACGTTAAAATTAGGGTTAAAATTTTCCACAAATCTAAAAGGAAAAAAGATGAACTCCGATCCATCTTAGGGTTTCCATACGCCCAACATGGACAACTATGTGAAGAGGGAAATGAAACTATAATCTCGAGTGATAAGTGATAATAGTTCCTCTTCCCCAATTTAAAGCATGTTGTTGTTTACAAAATTTGACGGAAACTATTTAAATTCAATTTATTTAAAAATTGATGTGGTATGATATTAAAAAATAAAATTTATAAATTTAAAAACTATATAAAAGTTTAATAAAACAAGTTGTGACAAAGCTATATTATTTTATCAAACGAGTAACGAAAAATGAGTAAACAATATATGATTAAAGTTTAATCATGTGAATAATAAACAGACAAATGAAATTAGGAAAGAGGATTAAAATATCTCACACTTTCTTTGCTAAGAATCAAACCGGACCATAACACTCTTTTATATTTTTATTTACCATTTGTAGAATTTTCATGTAGTTTTTATAATATACATTTTATTTTAGAGTTTTATACCAACCCCAACGATCAAATAAATTAAACTAAAAGTGGAGTACGTCAAAATTTATAACGTGTAATGAGAAGATCTATAGGGGACAAAAGGGTATACATCTTTGTCTCAGTGTATTCTTCCAGTCTAACTCTTTTCAGTCTAATTGGACAAATTTTAAACCTCAATTAAATTATTAATGTGAAAATGATTTAATTGAATTTAAGTTATTTAAAGCTTTCATTTATTTTAAATTTAATGTATTATGGAGTAATATGCAATACAAATTGAGAATAATTAATTATTAAAATATGGATAATTTATCTTAAAAGAATCAAATTGAACAAATTACATTAGGAGGGAGCTGGGAGTATTTTCATTAACCAATGAAGTACGTATGTAGACAGCACAAATGTGAGAGAAGGAATCTTATATTAGGAAGAAGATGAAAGCTGAAAGCAGCGGCAAGCTGTGGGTGCATGCGTGGTTCGAGAGGGAAAGGGACGAAAAAGACAGCTAAGCTAACGCTAAAGCCACCGACAAGCTTGGGGGGTTTTGTATCCTCCCATCCAGCCCACTGGCTGGCAATTAAGGTGTATGTGCTCCTAGCCGCGTGGTCCCATTAATTTACAGCATATTCATTCCCCCATTAAAAAAAAATGGTTGAACCCCAAGTCTATTAGAGGTGGTCAAGAATCCCGACTCCGTTGTCCCGATCTAAAATGTTCAGTCTCCTTCATGTAATGTCTTGTTCTGTTTTATATGACAACATTTTGTTTCGAACTGTTTTAAAATGGGACGGGACTGGGACACATAAAAATACGAACAATTCTGACCCATCTCAGCCCAATTTGTAGCGCATAATTTTTATGATTTTTATAGTTTTAACTTTTGACATATGTTGTAGCAGTTTTTAATCTTTCGTTATTATTTTTTGCTTTTCTAAGACATTCTAAATAAATATATTCTGTATCATTTTTTATTACTTTACAAATCAAAGTGGGTTGTCTTCTTGTTAGCGGATATTTGTACATAGGTTTTATTGTAGCGTATTGGGCTAGACCCATTTCTATACTTGTACTTACGAAGTATTATATAAGTTCATGTGGAGATTTACCATGCAAAAGAGGATTTGGAGTACGAATTATGAGATATACCGCTGTACGTACACACTCCCCCCAAAATTCAATTGGCAAAGAGGCCTGAAACACAAGAGATCGGGTGACATTAAGGATATGACAATGTTTACACTCGACCTGACCATTTAATTGTGGGGTATTAACACAAGAGGTTTGAATTAGAACACCCATATCATTATAAAACATACGCAAGGGTTTATTGAGAAACTCAGTACCATTATCTGATCGCACAACCTAAATTATTTTACCAAACGGAGTTCGAATCATGGTAAAAAATTGTTTCAAGCAACTCGTAACCTCAGTTTTGTCAATAATAAGAAATACCCAAACAACTCAAGAATAGTCATCAACAATGGTGAGAAAGTAATGAGCCGCAGTGGATATGGAAGCAGAATAGTCATCAATAATATGAACTCCTTTCTTCAAAACCTCCAGACTTGTCTCATCTTCTAGTATTTGGGTGTTTGTGTTTTGTTCGTCACCTACAACGTCCACCTAATAAATTTCATCCACGTAGCATCAAATGTATGTTTGTGGGTTATCCTACAGGAACTAAAGGATGACGGGTTTATGATCTTGAGTCACATCTTTTCTTTCATGCGCGGGATATTTCCTTTGATGAATCCGTCTTCTCGTTTGCTCTTTCTCGTGCTAGTGGTACTCCGCCTGAACGATCTCATTCTCCGGTTCATGTTGATTTCCCATCTTCACCCGAACCTCAACCCACCATCACGACCTCCTCCCAGCCAATCACAATAGCTATACCGCAGCCACAGTCGACAGAATCCTCCGGGCAAACTTTAAATTTCTATTTGGCCAAACTTTTACATATTCTAATCATTAATATATATAGTAAGTAACAAAAAGGTGATGTAAACATTTGAATTATCAAAACAAACTCTAAAAATGAGTCCATTAGACCTGATCACGGGCTCGGGTACCCGACCATGCCCACAAAATAGCATTTAGGGGTGAGTGTGATACGGTATGGTATGGTATTTCGTTCGTACCGATATCTGACCAAATATTTTGGTTTAGTATGAGACTTTACATCGCAATAATTCCAATCCCGAAGTATCGGTTCAGGATGGTTTGGTTTCGGTTTCAGTAAATATTGGGATGAACATATATATGTACTTAGTTTACACTTTGAAATCTACAAAACTTTTTATTTTAAAAAAATCGAAAGTACATTCAAATAAAAGAAGATAACAATTGAAAAATTAATAATTAAGTGCAAGAAATACTTATAAAACTTAGTTAATTTATACTACGTACTTCGTATCTAACAAACAAAAGAGAACGAATGGAAATAAAATAGTATTTCAAATGTATGTTAATTTTTTAATATTCGAGCCTGTTTGGGAATAACTTTAGCGATTAGCGTTAGCGTTTTGAAAAAGTTATCTACGGGCAGCGTTTAGCATTAGCGTTTTCAAAATAATATGCACCGTTAAAATTTAATCCAAAACACTAACGCTAATCTCTAACGCTCTTCCCAAACAGGCTCTTCATCTACAAAAAAATAAAATGCAAATCAATGATTATTTAAATAAAAGATTATTTATAAATCATCTATACTTGAACCGGCTTATCAAATCAATTTATTTTTTAATGAAGAAACATGAAGACATTATTTTTATAGTAACATATTTGTATATATCTTTGGTTAAGGATTTTTCGGTATGGTAAGTTACCTCGCATGGATCTCAAATACCAGATCGACCATTCGATACGGTACGATACAATTCTTTTTCGGTTTTTTCCGGTTCGGTAATCTTAGTTTTTTTTCGAGAAATTTCGGTATCGGTTCAATACTTGCTTACCCCTAACAACGGTCTTGCACTTTATATTTAGGGTACGAGCAGAGCTCGGGCTATATAAAAAGAGGCTCGTAAGATTCGGGCTCACGTTTTATGTTCAAATTTGTGGGTCAGTCCAGCCCAATAAATAATGGTAACAACAACAACAACGATGATGATGATAATGATAATGGGGTCCTCGTCATTCAAGCCATCTCGTTGAAGGGAGGCCTTTATTCTGACGAGCCGATAGTGTCATCGGCCTCAACCTTTGCGAAGAATCTTATCTTTGACGATCCAGCCTTAAGGTAGTTGAGTTGTTGCCGTTTTAGTGAACGGCTCAAAAATCTCCAAAGATCGACGGAGACTTGGCATTGGTGTCTGTCATCTTGATACCGAGCGGTGGTTTGCCTCAGAACATCGGCATCGTTCATCCCGCTCTTCTGATATCGAGAACATTCATCTTAAACTATGATAAATTTTTAGAATTTTCTGTTGATGTGGCCTCATTTGGAATTGAGTTGGTCTCAGGTTCGGTATGACGCGTCCTTGTTCATCGCCGCAAACAACTTCTCCTCGATACGAACGAAGCACCGAAGCACGAGCACTCCCGAGTCATATCATGACATTGATCTCTAATGTTATGGAAACCGGCCGTTTTGAAATCAAATTTTTGAGGTTAAGGATTTTTTTGGTACATGGAATTGATGGAATCAGAATTGAATTGGAGTTGAAATTCTATGGAATTGCATTCGATGGAATTGAGTTCTCCAATTTCAATTCATTTTTTGCATTATCAATTCCAAAGTCACATATTTTTGTGCTATCGAACACCAGAATTAGAATTGAAGTCTCTAATTCTAATTCCACGACTTGAATTCCATGTAGCAAAGTGAGCCTAAAGGAGGTGATTTTACATTACACTTGTTTATTAGTTTGATTTGGAAAAACACACACATTAATATCTTTTCTTTAATAACACATAAAGTCCCCAAGAAAATGCAATAGAATAGAAAGAGACTTGTCACCCTTTTGATAAATGTTCCACCGAACAACTCTTGCACCATTACTCCCTTCCACCTCATACCATACCACCAAATTATTCCACTCCCCTCTCCCCAAGATTTCCACACCCACTTTTTTGAAAGAGAGATTTAACCCCAGAGAGAATAGAGAGAAGAATTTGTTGTCTTCTACAATCGATCTACAGGCGGCCATGGATGTCCAGATCTTTGGCCTCTGCAAGCAGGTGGCCTTTATACCTCTTTTCTTCTTCCTTGCCTTCGTCGGTGCTTCCGCATTGCCGGAAACCCTGACCCGGAATCTCATCGGCGGGTCGAATTCCGGCGTCCAGATCAATTCCAACTCTGTTTTGGTCGCCCTTTTGGACTCCCACTACACCGAGCTGTCGGAGCTCGTCGAGAAGGCCCTCCTTCTCCCGACTCTGGAGGAAATCGTTTCTCGCCACAATATCACCGTCTTTGCCCCGAGAAATGAGGCTCTTGAACGGGATCTGGACCCGGAGTTCAAGCGGTTCCTGCTCGAACCCGGAAATCTCGAGTCCTTGCAGAATCTGATTCTCTTCCACATGATACCCACTCGGCTCGAGTCCAATCGCTGGCCCGCCGAGTCACGTGGCGGACGGGATCACTCCACTCTGTGCCGCGATGCCGCCGGCGAGGGTCTCGTTGTCTCCCAGACCGGCGGTGTGAGGGAGGTGAGCGCGTCTAAGGTTCTCCGACCGGACGACGTGGTCCGTCCCGACGGAGTAATTCACGGGATTGAGCGCGTCTTGATTCCCAAATCGGTGCAGCAGCATTTCAACACCCGCCGGAGCTTGACCTCCATCTCCGCCGTTCTTCCCACCGGAGCACCCGATGTAGACCGCCGGAATCTCCGAACAAAAACTCCCCACACCCCTTCCCCAGCCGGTTCCCCTCCTGCTCTATCGGTCTACGACGCCCTGGCCCCTGGCCCATCTCTAGCTCCCGCGCCGGCGCCGGGACCCGGCGCACCCCGCCGCCACTTCGACGGAGAGAGCCAAGTCAAGGACTTCATCCAAACACTACTGCACTACGGCGGGTACAACGAGTTCGCCGACATTCTCGTGAATCTAACATCCTTAGCCACCGAAATGGGGAAACTAGTCTCTGAGGGTTACGTCTTAACAGTCTTAGCTCCACACGATGAAGCCATGGCGAAGCTCAACGCCGACCAACTAATGGAGTCCGGGGCGCCGGAGCAGATAATCTACTACCATATGATCCCGGAGTACCAAACGGAGGAGAGCATGTACAATGCGGTAAGAAGGTTCGGGAAAGTCAAATACGACACTCTCCGGCTTCCCCATAAGGTTGTGGCGGAGGAGGCCGACGGATCTGTTAAGTTCGGAGAAGGAGAAGGGGCGGCGTATTTGTCGGAAGCGGATATATACACCGACGGGAGGATATCGGTGCAGGGGATCGACGGCGTCCTGTTTCCGCAGGAGCCGATCAAGAAGACCGCCGCTCCGGCTAAGGTTGTTTCAAAGCCCAGAAGAGGTAATTTTTTATTAGCCCATTTTTGTTCATACTTTCCTAAAATTTGTGTTTAACATATAATTTTGGTTCATTTTTTTGTTATCGAATTATTTTTTATTAGGGAGAATTATTATTTCACCGTGAGCTAAATGTGCAATTAGGCGCATATGATTATTGGAGGTTTATTTGGTCATTGCATTAATTCATTATTAGGTCAATAAATTGATTCCCTTTGCATCATTAAAGTCTCCATGATTAATTGAGGCATTTTCTCATTCAGTTCTAAATGAGCGAGTGTCATGTGTTCAGTGCCAACGGAACCTTACGGATATTTTTTTTGTATATAGACCAAAAAAGACAGTAATATTTACGCATTTGAAGGAGTACAAAACAAATCTTAGCTGGCAATTCTTGAGGGGTAATGGAATTGTCGGTGAGAGCAAAATTTATCCATGTAGCACATGACAAGATACTGAAACTAGATTAGGGGGTTCCTTGAATGCTTTCCTTGGTCTCCCCATTATTTTGCAAAGAAGCATATTCTTTTTTATTCTTTGGGTTTATTTATTTGATTTTAATACAAAAAAATACTCCCTCTCGTTTGGAAAATGTTACTCCCTCTGTCACCATAGATCTTCTCGGATACTATTCACAGGGTCAAACTTAATTCACTTTGTTTACTTATTTTTACTATTCATTTTACGAAATAATATAGTCTTGTCACCTCTAGTTTTGTAGAACTTTTAATGTAGTTTATTACTACATAAATTTTACATTAAAATTTTATCCCTATATTCAAATAAATTGAATTGAAAATAAAGTCGGTCAAGCCTCGTAACGCGCAATGGGAAGATCTTAGGTGGACGGAGGGAGTATTACTTTTCTTGATCAAAGTTTGTAAATCTTATCACCAATATATGAAAAAAATATATTGTATTATGATATAAATTTAATATCAATATATTTTTATTGAGATGTAATTTTCAAATATTAAGTTTTTATAAAAATATATCCTATCTATGCTTAAATATAGATGTAAACGGTCAAAGTATAACATTAAAGACCGTAAAAAGTCAAACTGAAAGAATATTTCTAGGCGGGGGACTGAGCTTTGTTAGACCAATAATGAGATTCAACTATGGGTCAATGTAAATTATGCCTCAAGGTTCATATTTCACGTGGAAGCTTTAATATGTAATATCACAATAATTAACTCATAAAAGAAATAAAAGTGAACATGCCTACTAATCTTATTTTTTTCAATGAAAGAGGTGATTTAATTCTTTTATTTTTTGAAGGAAAAAAAAGAGAATTAAATCCCTTTTATTTTAAATGCCTACTAATCTTATTTTTTCCATAGTGTTTAATTTTATAGTACGGCCATTGTTTTTCAATCAAATGAGATGAATTATAATTATTCCGTATTAATTAAATAAAAAAAAAGTTCTAATTTAAAAACAATTCAATTAGAGTGAATAATAGGGAATGATGTGTGCCATCGTTTTGGAACTATTGGTATTTAAATATGTAAGTTTTATTTTTTATATTTATACTCAGAATAAATAAATAAAATAAAATTTGAAAAAAAGTTTGGGTGTAATGTGACATTGTTTTGGGTGTATGGCGAACCCTAGGTCCATAGAATGTACAGGGAAACAGCTGTGAGAGAGGGGAGGGTATAGGGGTATCCAGCAAACCACAGCTGTTCACCATATGCATTATTCTATATTCTCTCCGTCCCAGAGTATTTAACCACTTTCATTTTTGCACATCATCGAATACACTTCTTTAATCCATTTTATCTTTAATTTGTATATTAAAAAATTATACTCCTTCCGTCCCATAAAGTGTTACCCATTTTGACTAAAGTTGAAATTAAGAGAGGGATAATTTTGTGTTGACTTTCCAAAAATACCCTTGATGTGATGGGTAAAAATAGAATGTGATGTATAGATTATTAGAAAAAAGGTATGATGTAATAGGTAGGGTTTGAAAAAATAAGGGGTAAAAGTGGTTTTTAATATAAATGGGTAGGAGATTGTGGGACGTAATGTAAATCTTTTTGGGACGGAGGGAGTAGAAATTATATATTAATAATCTATATGTTAAAACAAATCAAACAAGATCACACATGACTATATTTAGGCTTACACATTGAGAGAATTTGATGAATCAAAGTGCTTAGATAAACAGTTCTAAAAGTCAAGTGAACGAATATAGCGAGACGAAGGTAGTATTTAATTACGGATTGGAGTTTAATTATTATTAATTATTTCCAACTCTCGTGTTCAGACCGCCAGCCTGTCAAATTGACCTTACCCCTCCTCCCTCTTTCTCTCTCAATTTTTTTAATTTCAAGAATTTTTTTTATCTATACTTTTTTTAAAAAAAAAAAACTCCAAAATTGGACTTAAAAATAAGGAAATTAATTTGGGAAGATTGTCACAATTTGACTAAATAGTCAAACTGTGGTACTTTTTGGCCATGAATTAAATATAATTTAAAATAATTAAATATTATAAAAATTTAATATTTCAAAATTATATTTTAAAAATAAAATTAATTTTAAATTTACGTTATAACTAAAAATATTTTTGCATAATTCGTGGTTTAAGGATGCTAATCTCTAAGGAACGGAACGGAAGGAGTAATTTATTTTTATTTTTCAATTCTCTTTTTTGGTGTGAAGTCAGCTGTCATCATTTCCTAGCCCTTAATTTTGGGTTGAATTTTTTTTTCTTTTCTGCAAGAATTTACGCATGAATTTCAAATGCGCCATTAGCGCCTGTTTGGTATTCTACTCTACTCAGTTTTTAAAAATATATGTTTCTACCATATTTACCAAACAAGATGCTGAAAATTGCAGGGAGGTTAATGGAAGTGGCATGTAGCATGTTTCTGGGCTCACTTGGTATTGCCAGCTGTCATTAATATTAAAACTCTACCAAACAAAGCAGAGAGAGAGAGAGAAAAAATCTGATGGTTGAGTGCTCAAAATAGTGCCTAAAACATTAATAGTTTGGTGAGTTTACAAGAAAAGAACAAAAAAAAGTATGAAGGAAGAAGGAATGAAGCATCCACGTGGCAATATATTTTGTAATAAAACACTTGTAATTAATTACGTATATCAATTTTTTCATTTGTATTTACTTTTGTTTTTGTAGGATATATCTATTTTTTAGGGCAATATATACATTGTGTGGAATTGTGGATATATGAAGCCATTATTAATGTTATACAAAAAAAAGTGTTACAAAATTTTATAACCCTCCACGCTCTATTTCAAATTAAATTGCTTATTTCGGTCTATTGAAAAAACTTATCTCGTCCCTAAAAGATATTTCTATTTTGACTTTTACGAAATTTAAAGGAGTAATATTTTTGGCTTGATTTTCAAAAAAATTTCTCGATGTGATGGATAAAAGTAAAATGTGATGTATAGATTATTAGTAAAATGTATGATGTGATAGATAAGAGTGGTTTTTAATAGGAATTGAGAAGGATTTTGTGAAACAAGTAAAAAAAAAGAAAAGAGAATAAGTTTTTGAGACAAAACGATTAGATATTTTAATTTATGATATTTGATTAAGATATTTTAGATTTTATTTATTTGAAATTTAGGTAGACGTGGTTGATAAAATTTACTTAGTATACATTTAAGAATTACATAAAAAAAATATATGAAACACGATGTGGTATCAATATACGGAGTATTATTTTATCAAAAAAGTAACAAAGATAGGTAAAGAAATTAAGAAAGTGAATGATAAGTAATCAGGTGAATAGTTAATTAAAGAAAATCATATGGTACAATCGAATAGTTAAAAAAATAAAAAATGTTTGTGTTTGAAATAAAAAATTTAATATATGTCGAGATCAAAAGAACTCCGAGTAGCGTCTTTTTAATATATTTTTAGTTATATATTAATAATAATTTTTGGACCAATACGCAAAAGATGTCCTTCATTACTAAATTTTCTCTATTCTATAAAAGTTTTTTTTATATACTTTTCTTTTTCTTTATTATATTTCCTATTCTTTTTTCTTTTATTTCAATTTATGAGCTTTAGGAAAAAAGAGAATATTTTATTCATTCTCGTATCATGAAAATGAACCAATAAAGATTTTTTTGGATAAAAATAAAAATGTTTAATTTGAGACAAATGAAGTGTATGTTAATTCTTGTTATTTAATTGATTTGTATATCAAAAATAAAAAATGATTATTAAAACATTATAAACATTAATTTTAAAAAAGAAATTAAAAAATATTTGTGAAAAAATAGTAGAAGAAAGAAAAAATAAAGAAAAAAGAGGGCGTTTAGGCCAATTTCTAAAACCATTGGGAGGAGTGTAGTTATTCCCAGAATATTTGAAGGATATTTTAGTCCAGATGGGCATTGACGTAGCAATATCAGAATCATGAGAAACAACAACTACGTAAGTTTTGAAATCATAGAAGATAAGAATGCACACTTACTAAACCAGAGGGAATCATGGTGTAATAAATTCATTTAATTTGAGATAGATGAAGTGTTTTGTATTCTACTCCCCTTTTGCTCATAAAAGGGATTTAACATTTCTTCGTTTATTCACATAGATTTTAATCTTTCAGATATATTTTAACTTTATGAAGTCATCTTGAATAGAAGAAAAACATTGAGAAAATACTAAAATAAGATTTTTTATGTTTTAATTTCTTAAATAGGAATTAATACTATGGTAACACGAACACTTTTGGTAAAGTACATGGTCATAATTGGTAATGTAAATGTATTTTAACTCCTATTTAAAAAATAGAAACATTGAACTTCTATTTTGGTGTATTTTTATTATTTTACTCCTACTTTAGTCTTTTTTCTCTTAAACTTTTATATCAAAATCCTTTGCCTATTTACAAATTAATTTATTGAAAAATTATAGAGTTTGTACTATCTCTCAACTCTTAAGGCTATCAGTATTCCAAATTAACAACCACTCAATATCATATGAGTGTCGACTCTAGTCATCATATCACTCACTTTACACTCAAAATCAAAAGCCACTCGTATTTTTATTATTTATTTCACATTTACCTATTTTTCAGACTAAATTCTCTTTTAAAATAAAAATAAAACTTTTTCATAATTCAGTGGAACTAAGTAATCAATTTGACTCAATTTTTTTAATGTGGGTCAGTCCAAATGTCGTAGGATTGAGTCTAGTGATCCTCACCTCATCCAAAATTCTATCAAAGTAATTATGTAAAATCACCTAATCCTAAGGCTATCTGTAATGCTTTACGGAAGCGTGTCTGTGATCCTACATGGCGTGCGCCAACGTGACTCCTTGTGAACATCGTCCCTCCTTGAATGTGAGTTACTTGTGTGAGTGCATTGTGGGCGTGCTAACGCAAGACAAATTTTTTCGCGGTCCTAAGATTTACACACATTTTATGCACTTTAGTATATAAGTACCATGGGTGTACTGAGCTCTTTGAAAAATAGTATAGATCCCCATGCTAACTCACTAAAAGTGCAAAATGTTTAAGTTTCACATGTAGACCTTAGGATTATGAAAACACAACTCCTCGCGCAAAGAAGGTATCAAGGTTGGAGTATTTTTTATTTTTTCTTTCATTTATATTTTCTTAAGTAATGTGTATTTTGCTCATAAATTTTTTCTAAGTAAATTACTTGACAAAAAATATGTCGTTGAAAATCTTTTTACAAGATCTTCCCGAAAACACCAATATCGCATATATAATTCTGACGCTATATCTCGCTTATATTTTTAGGCAAACACTTTCTAATTAAACAAACTATGTTACTCCGTATATTACTATTTTTTTTTTGAATGAAACGTATTTTAAATATAAATAACGTCTCATTTATATTTTTTCTTTTAAACTACAGTATTTTATATTTTTTTCATTTGTTTTGTTATTAAAAAGTAAAATAAAAAAATAGTACAAAGAAAAAGTTTTCTTTCTCTTTTTTGAATATATGTTATATGAAAAAGTTTTCTTTCACCATTTTATTTTTTAATGCTATAAAAAAGTAAAAGAAAAAAAGTAAAACCAAAAATTGGTTTTAACGAGAAGAAAAATTAAACGTGTAAACCAAAAAATAAAAAAAAAACTATTAATTGTGTTAAATAGGTTCAATGTCAAACGTGTAAACACAAAAGTAAGGAAGAAGAGAGAATTCCATATATGTATCAGATGATTAAAAACCGAAAGCATAAACAAACCAATTTGTACATTTTATAAAAGAAATCACTGAAACCATCATGTAAAGCATACAGTTTACTACTCAATTCCTTTGTATTTTGCGGGAAAAAAAAGAAAACTTATAGCACATGACAATATATATAAAAACTTTAGGACTCTGGATGTAAAAGATATGTAAAGCTTTGTATTCACAACTCCAAGGAGATATTGGAAGCTAATATTTCTTCTCTTTAAGCTTCAACAGCAGCACCATTTACAGGCTCTTGGGGACACATTTTCTGGTCAGGGCTCTTCATTTTGGCCTGTTTAGATATAGTCTTAGTGACTGGAAGATGACCAGAAAGAGCCTTGGAGTGCACATTTCTTGTTGGTTTCTTAGAAATGGCAGTGCTTTTATCCGCATTTGGCGATTTTTCGGGTTCTTTGGCAACCATTGAAGGGCTCAGATTTGATCCTCCATTTTCAGAGCTATTTTTCGTTGATGACGCAGAGCTTTTGTGTCTGCCGAACTTTGGTGATTTCGGTCGTGTCGTTGGTATCTATAAAGTTGATCAAACCATTTGGACATCAAGCTCATGATGAAGAGAGGAAAAAATGTGATCTTTAAAGTCTTTTTTCCACATTCATTCTCCAGTGCTAAGATAAACAAGAACAAGTCTGCAACTTTAGAGGGCATTACCTTCTTCAGTTCTGATTTTGGAGCAGGTTCCTTATAGAAGCTCGGCATAGGCGTGGCTTTAAAAGTTAAGCTCTTCCTAAATTTCTTTATCTCGGCTTCTTGGTTTTCCTGCAACAAATCCCAATTGAGTGCGCGCTAACGTTCCAAACTAAACTCAAATTAAAACGAGAATTTACAACTATATACCTTTGATTTCGCCTGCAAGTTAGTCCTCTCCGTTTCACGCGCCTGTATCTTCTGTTCAAGCTTCGAAAAGAACTTAAGGAACAAGAAACACCATTAGTTAGCTGTTGTACAAGAACCAAAACCTTAGTGTTGAAATGGTGTTTGGGAACCATGGTTTAGGCATCACACCTCTTTTCGTTTTTCAGCACGTTCTTCCAACCTCGACGAAAACCCTCCAACACTGGTCCTATGTTGTTTCCCATGAGGGGTTGTGTTCCTGGTTACAATTGGATTAGATATATCACAACCAAGTCATTGCAGTAAGAACAAAGGAAGGGAACAAGTGTGCTAAAATTGTAATTTAAAAGAAGAAGGGCTAATTCCAATAGAAGAACAGTACGATGAAGCAGTCGACCGCACATCCTCGTTCTCCTTGAGAGGCAAGATGGATTTAATATGTTGCTTATTTTCATCAGTTGGTCTGCAAATCAATGACTATAGTGAATAAGAAAATCCTCAAGTGTAAAATCTTCAGCAGTTTTCAACAAAGATCAATAAAAAAATTATATTGATGAAGAAAAACACTTAATTTTTTCACTAACCCTTCAATTCTCTTGCTTTTCTCTCTTCCATTTGCAGAAATAGCGTTCCCGGACTGCTTTTGAAAAATGGTAGAAATTAACAAAGAACATCAAACAGGATACAAACCAACAACAACAACAACAACAAGAAACGAATAGGGTCGTAGACCTTACCCTTAACTAAAACGGTAGAGAGGCTCTTTCGTAAAGACCCAAAGAGTATAAATATGAATCAATTACCAAAATTTCAATATTTACCTTAGATTGGTGAAGACTTGGTGCAGCTGGCAAAGTTGTTCTTTTGCCAGTTGCATTGATGTTAGCACTCTTCAACACACCCGAGGCACGCTTTCCGTTTGGGTTTGAACAGGAAACCGGTTTTGAGGCGCCGTTTGGAAATGAGGCCTTGGGATTCACTTTCTTAGGATACACATCAATGCTTTTCCTCATCAAATCTTTAGAAACACATTTAGGAGGGAATGAGAGACTCTGAGATATGCTTGCCCTTTTCGCACGCGCCAATGCAGCCGAGCCTCTTGAACTTTCCTTAGCCTGTTGAGATGATTCTTTACTTCTCAAGACTTTCCCAGATGTTTCATTTTTTACTGCAGATAACAACTTGGGTTTTACACCAACCATAACATCATCCCCATGAACTCCATTTTCTTCATTAGGTTTTTCACCCATAGAAATAACTTCTTTCTCCGCACCCAGATTTTTTTCATCCTCAATAACACAATTCTTTTCCTCTTCCCCTACCGCTGCGCTTTCTGATCCCATCAAGATCAACTCTTATCTACAAAAGAATCCAAAAATTGTGATTGAATCACTACATACATAAAGACATAAAGTATGATGTGCCATATTTTGATCTAGGCCATTAATTACCCGAACCTAAAACATTGCCAAAAAAGACTCATTTAGCTTAAACACTTAATAACACTCAATTTTAACATCACCCACTGCAAGCAACAAGATGAAAGTTTCATAAACTCTGATCTGACAGAGAATTCCAAGACAACCCAACAAAGATCAAGCAAAAACCAGGCACTTAGTGATAGGGCAGAGAGTTTTGGGAAGTCAAGATGATGCCAAAAAAAAGGGGGAAATTAGTGAAAGAAAATGAAGAGTGAGAAGAGAACAGAGTACCTGAGAGAAGTGAGAAAGAATGGGAATATGATGGCATTCAGAAATCAAAATCTGCTTGGCTATGAAAAGGTTGGTTAAGGAATAGTGGGAGGGATTAAAAAGAGACGGTTGCTCGGGGAATGTTGAGAAAACAAGATGCCCAGTTTTATGAAATGTGTGATTGGTCAAAAGAAAACAATAATGCTATCATGGCCCAAACTTGTCTTTTTCACACATTTTATTCGTCATTTTTTTCTAAAGCTATTCATCATTTTTATCTAATGAGTAACATGCATGAATAGTCTTTGTGGTCTTTCATAAATGAGTAAATAATCTTTGAACTTTTAAAAGTTGCAAAATAAGTCATGTGGTCAAAAAACCATTGCATAAATACTTAAGTAAAAACGTGAAGAACGTAGAACATGCACGTATTTAAAGAAGATGTGAAGCATGCAACAATAAGAAATTGATCTAGGCTTTTAATTGGGATGTGTAAGTTTGAACATTAGTACATTGTCTTCTATCTTTTAGTTCAACTCTCAAAGTAACTTTTTCATGTCTTCCATAGTGATGTTCTTAAAGAGTAGTACAATGTTCTAAATGTGTTTGTATTTCGTCCTTCAAATATATTTTAAGTTATCGTGTGCTGTTAGCCTGTTAGAGGTGGAAAAGGACGCTTCTGTGCTCTTAATCACGTAGACGAGGGTAATTTTGTTAGATTAGCTACTTTATTTTGTTTCATGCTTCACATTTTCGCATAGTATGCGCGTGTTTGGCGTGTTTCATGTTTTAGTTAAAGAAAGGACTAATTATGCAACAATTTTTTGACCACAGAGATTATTCTACAACTTTTGAAAATAAGGACTATTTACCTACTTATGGAAACTACAAGAACTATTTATGCATTTAACTTTTTTCTAATGAGACTTTGTATTTCTGTCTATACAAACATTCACAAAGGGGGCCTTTACGCCTTAGCTCTCCACTCCTTTTCTGCGCCAGGGCAAAACACTTTCAATGTATTCACCTTCTCTCCTTGCCTCTTCATTTAATTTATAATATCCATCATTTTTTACTTTAAATTTATCTATTAAAAATGGAAAAAAATATAATAAAATAATAAAAAAATTAACTTCAGGCTAGAGGCGCAATGGGAACCCTGCAATGGTAGCCGCTGCTGGCCATCTGCCCGCGCCTCGCGCCCCACACAAGCCCAGCATCTGGGCCACTCCGCGGTGGCGGATGCTCCCCCCTCCTTGCAATGGCGGCGACCTCTTGCCCCGCCCCTTCGAGCTGCGCGGCTCCCCCATTGTAAATTTATTTACATATTGATGTAAAGATAAAGAATAAAATATGAAGTATATTTTTTCGTTCTAGAATACATTGTAAATATCCTTGTAGTTTAGGGGATTTGGAAAGTCAATGAAATGTGTTAGACTCTTGAGTAGGCGAGTCAAGTTGATACAAGAAAAAATCTCAGATGAGGAGAGTAATAAAGACATATACAAAGATCATTACAATGTAGTACCGAGTACCATTTTATAGTTTGAAGTAAATTTTTATTATTTTTAAATTTTTAGTTTAATTATTTAAATTAAAATAAGTGTTAAAAATAATGTTAAAAATTGAAAGCAAAAGGGGAAGGTATATCTCTAAAATACAATTATAAGAAGAAGTGAAAGCTGAAACTGACGTAGTGCTGAGTTGATAAGAGGGAAGAAGGGAGGATGAACCCCTTAGCTTAAAGAGTGAATAACTAAAGTTAAGATTAGGAAAGTTGGCCTAATTGATGTTTGTGGAATTAATAAACTTATGAGTACACTAAAATTGAATACCCTATTTGTATATTAGACAAACACGAACACTAAGCATATGTTTGGATGGGGGGATTTTGAAAGAAAAGAAAAGTGGAGGGAGGAAAACACAAGTTTCTAGATCTTTTCTCTTATTTGTTTGCAATAGATAATGGGGAGAGGAAAGAAAAAGAGTGCAAAAAAGCCTTAAAAAATTTTCTCTACACTTTTGAAGAGAAAACGTACACATGGAGAGAAAATGCATGAAATGACATGGTTGCCCTTTGCCTCCTTTCTAATTTACGAAGTACACCTTTTTTTCTTTAATTTTTTTGTTGCTTTATTATAAGGGCTGATGGGTGTATTTCACCCATGACCGGTCAAAGGTCAGGACCGGATAGTTGACCGGTCAAAGAAGTCGAACTCAAAAGAGCGATCTGGATCGTCGGCAAAATGATGACTGGTTGACCGCGAAGTTGACCGGTGTACTTCGGATAGTATACCGGTCAAAATACTTTACCATCAGGAGCCAATTCCGAAGTCAGTTAAACCCAACCTTCGAGAACCAACCGGTGTACTTTCACAAGATTGAT